CAAGAGTGACCTGTTCCCTGCGCGAGGAAACTGGTACGAGCCACCTTAATTCCAATTTTGCTCGAAAACGTGATGAGTTTGATGAGGTGGAAAAGGGTTTATATGTGGTGCAGGATTAAGGCCAAAGTGATATGTTGAGGTGTAAACTTTACAGAAAGGTGTGTGTGATTTGCGAATTTATGCACAAGGCTTGACTTGCCTCCTGAAGTTCATGTGACCTGTAAATTTTTATTTTCATCTCATGAAAAACTCAAGATTTCCCTGAAACATCACACACAAGAGGAGAGAATTGAGTTGGAAATCCTGTTTAGGGGCCAGGCTTATTTGAGTAAATACTATCTGTGATAGTGGTATATCATGAAAAAAAATTTATATTTGTTTTTTCATCATTTGTAGGAAACTGCAGGCCATGAGGGAGCAAAGCCTCAGAGAGTGGCATTTTGCAGTGAACTGAATTACATTTTCTCTGTTGGATTTTCAAAGATGAGTGCAAGGCAGTATGCAGTTTGGAATGCGGTAAGTGTGGGTAACAATTAAAAGAACACCATCTAAATACCTTTGGAAGTGAATCAAAGGGATTTGAAACACTGCAAAATGAATTACACCGGCATTTGTTAACCCTTTTCACCAGAAAATTAGTATACAAGCTCTCCTTACTGTTCTCCATTTATCTCCTATGGTACCTGCAAGGAGAATTTTTCTAGTGATCAAGGACATCTTGACTATGAATTGTATCAGTCATCCAGTTGAGATTATGATAAAAAGAAAATAATTCAAATACTGGAAAATTATAGACAAATGTTTGACGTTTCGGCCATATCACACGGCCTTCATCAGGAAACTGCCGAGTCAGCCTAGGTCATGCAAGTGTCACGTGTTAGCTGACTTGGCACGTCCCGTAACACATGGTCCCACGTGTGCGATAGTACAAACTCTTAATAAGAAAGGGGAGTTGTTGTTTGTACTATCGCACACATGGGACTGTGCGTTACGGGATGTGCGGAGTCAGCTATCACATGACACTTCCGTGACCTAGGCTGACTTGGCAGTTTCCTGATGAAGGCCATGTGATACGGCCGAAACGTCGATCATTCGTCCATAATTTTCCAGTATTTGAATTATTTTCTTTTTATAAGGACATCTTGACTTTGTGATCATTTCTTTTATCATGAACACCTTGAGATGAGCCACACCCACAGATCAGCTGCACTCTGAATTTAGCAGCTCAAAGTTTTTTGAAAGAAATCCAAAGTCGAGTCTTGAGAAGTCTTCTTCATCCACTGTTCAATGAACATAAACTCACTATTAACATTGCAATGGAAAATGCTTCAAAGTCTTACCCACAATTTAAGCACTTAAACATAATGAAAATCATTTCTACCAACTTTGACATATGATTGATCATTTTTTGGTATTTGTTGACAGGAATTTCTTCATTCAACATAGTTTTTCCATAGATTTTTGCCTTACAACATGAACGTGAGTGGAACATTGGAAGCTTAGTAAAAGCCAGGCATTAGATTAGATGTGAAAATGTTGACATTCACAACACATTTTCCAAATGTTCCCATAGATAAGCTGCACCCCCAATTTTTAGTAACGAATTTTGAAGAAACGGTGCAGCTTATCCACAGGTTTTTACGTTATTCTCATTACCCTCATGGTTGATTCAAGAGGTGATGCTACTGGGAGAAATAAGATTCTTGTCACTCGTAGGTTGTGAAGGCTTAAGTACAGGGCTGTAGCCTTTTTGCTGCCATTTGAAAAATTGTCACAAAACCCCCTCAAAATGTTCTTGTCTCTCTCAGGATACTCTGGAAAATCTGGCCATGGAGGAAATTGACCAGTCCAATGCCGTGCTGTTTATACACTATGACCCTGACACAAAGATGATTTATTTGGCTGGCAAGGTAAGATCATGTTTGAATCATTATTTTTTGGGGGATTGGTGGTGGAGTATAGAGGGCAGATGGAACAAATTCTGTGAGATTATCAGCAAGTTGTATAGTAGCCAGGTAATTTCTGCTTGTTTTTACCTGAAAAAGGGAGTTAGAAATTTAACAGCAATTGGTGAAACCACAGAGAGCCTTCTTTATGTTATGTGGGATCAATCTGGGCCAGAGGGGAAAATGTTTGGTTCTTAGTTGTTGTGCACAGACCTTGCTGTGCTTGGTCCATGCGTCATGACTTGGGGCCAAAAATTTTCCTGTTTTTTCCTCCCACTGACCAGCAATAAATAATTACATATTGTCATATTTGCTTTGTTAACAGGGAGACAGCATCATCAGGTATTATGAACTGGATAAGGAATCTCCACACTGTCATTGGTTGACCAATTATAGCACCAATGTACCCCAGCGAGGTGTCTGTTTCATGCCAAAACGTGGTTGTGATGTCTCTCTCAATGAAGTTGCAAAGTGCTTTAAGCTTGTTGCCAAAGGATACTGTGAACCAGTCAGTTTTACAGTTCCAAGGAAGGTATTTAGTATTCCCTTGAGAGATGTTGATTAAGATTCTAAATCTTTTTATTTCAGGATTTGTTTTAAAAAAAAAAAAAAAAAAAACTTGGAAAGTCATGAAATTCAGCAGTACAATTTTCAAGGGCTAGAAAGTGATGGAAAATGACCAAAAATAATGTCAGACCAGAAAAGTTGGAAATACTTTGATTAAAGGGTTATTTTAAAATTATTTCAAGACACGTTTCGCAATCATTAGTCCTGAGAAATACCAAAGAAACTTCTAGAGGTCATGGCTAGATAGGGAAAGAGTGCAAATGCAAATTTACAAATTTATCAGCAAACACTCAAAAGTCAACTTTGCCTTTGAATTTTAATAACTTTTACCAGTCAGAACTTTTTCAAGAGGACCTGTTTCCAGACACACAAGGCGATGAACCATCTCTTTCTGCTTCCGATTGGTTAGACGGAAAAGATGCAGAACCGAAAAAGATTTCCTTGAGGCCAGGAGGAGATGGAGCTGCAAAGGCTGCCAAGAAACCCAAAAAGGGGCTAGGTGGGCTTGGTAAGATGGCGCCAAAGAAAAAAGAGGCAAAAGCTGATGATGAAGAAGCGGTAAGTAAAGAGTTGCTATTTTACAAACTTGTCTTGTTTTAAGTATTAAATGCTGGTTGATGGCATGAATTGGGTCAACCACTAAGCTAAAATAGTTGGTCAGTTACATTATTTTGTCTTTACAATTAGTTTGAGTTTGAGTTTTTTGCATCCAGGTTTCACGATCCACATGCGGTCAAAAAGCATGTGAAAATACTGGGTACAGAAGAGGTAGCATTTGGTTGCTTTTCACTTGGAAAATTTCACAGCTATATGAAATTTTCACGTGAAATGTGTGGAAACCATGTGAAAGACTTCTAACTTAGTGAGCACCAGGGCATGTCTCTATTAATAATCTAGTTATCACTGTTTCTCCATAGAGAGAGTTGACCTGTGCTCATGACATCACTCCATTTACTTCTTTAGCTACTCTTTCATCCTGTAATAAGTTATTGAAAACACATTGATTTCCAGGAATTGATCGAGACAGTGAAGCAGCTTAAACTCAAGGTGGAGGAACAAGAAAAGCGAATCAAAGCTCTGGAGGACAAAGTTGGACACTGAGAATTAGACTTAAACTTGAAAGAATGGCTCAACAATGAAGTTTCTAAGCTACTAGAGTTTAAAATTGTACCAGTGGTGTTCTGAAGCAGCTTGGTTGTTAAGTTTGTAAGCATGAGAACTGTATTTTTCCATTTCAAATAATTTTTATTAAAATGTTATTGCTATTGAATATGGTTATTACTGACCCGTTAGCCTTAACAAAACCAGTTCGACCAGAGTCCTTTGCAGCTGCTCTTTGTAATGTCCCCTGTGTATGAACATTTCTTGTGACCCTGAGGAATGGCTATGAAGCATCCGCCCTCTAAAGCAGACTGTAATTTGGTCACAGTATGGTTTGCCCTTACAATCAAGCCCTCCCATCCCTTATCTACCTTTACTCATCCCCCCCCCCCATTTCCAGCTCATCCTTTACTTTTCATGGAGTCAGTTTGATGTGAATTCAAAACGGTTCAAGGAAATGTCATCTAGAGGTACAAGTATGCCACCTAAAGTTTCTTCTAAAAAAAAAATTGGAGTCTAAGAAATGCCTTTTAATCACTGGTTTAATTTCAAACACCACAAAGTCCTAAATGAACATCAAAACTGAATTCTTGCCCAAGGAGTAGAAGGGGGCTCATTGGATGTATAGAAGCATTTCATAGTTGGTGAAACTATTTCACATGTTCAAACAATTATCACTATGTTAGATAAACTGTATCTTTGTTGTCGATTGCAAAATCACACCATCTTGGACTAGGTAAATTAAACTAAACAATAAATGGCCAATTACAAATAATGCAATCATATTCCAATAAAAGCAGGGTTTCCTTTTTAAATGTGCATAGAGGGGGTGGACTTTAAGGTTAATGGTGCGGTAAGCAAATTGTGAAGTGGTTTATTTATACTGGCCAAATCACACAGTACTTGCTCATCATCCAAGCAGTTCAGTTTCTTCACTAATATGAAAAAATAAAACCAAAAAGGCAGTTACAAACAAATCATGTCATAAGAGAGGGCTTGCTTCCATACTCACAGGAAATTATGTACCTTAATGAACAAAAAATTTCCAATATTAAACTTTTAAATACAACTTACGGTAACTATAAATTGGAACCCAAATGAATACTTTAAACACTAGAACCACCATGTCTTGGAGGAAAAAAAGAAACAAAAAAATAACAATCCCCCATGGGTGGAAAACAAACTGAACAGCGGTTTTCAACTTAAGTTTCAGCATCATGACAAAAGGAAAAAAAATGCATCAGAATTAAAACTATGAAAGCAAGGTAACCCCTTCATGACAATGACAACCAACTGTCTTGACTTTATCTACACTTAAAGAATGCATAACATGAAAATATGGCTGACACTTTGGTGAAATACTTCTTCACCCTCAGTACCAAAAAAAAAAAAAGAGATGAAAATGTACAGTTGCTATCTAATTTTACAAAACTCCTTTAAACAAGTGTCAAGTTTGAATGGAATGACTGAAGCTTCTTTAATGTTTACGCTGCCTCATAGCATATGTATGTTGCTGTTGTTGCTGTTGCTGATCTTGCTGCTGCTGCTGTTGTTGTTGTTGTTGTTGAACTTGTTGTTGTTGTTGAACTTGCTGCTGCTGCTGTTGTTGTTGTTGTTGTTGTTGTTGTTGCTGCTGGTGTTTCTGAAGCAGTTGCACTGCTGCTGCTGTGTTCCGCTGCAGTGTGACAGTAGTCATCTGCTGGGGTTGCTGAGACTGCTGTGGTTGTTGCCGAATCTGTGGAGTGCCCAGCTTGACCAAGGACTGAGGAGTCACCGACTTCTTCTGAGCAGTACCTGCCGCCTGCTGTTGTGCCACAAGAAGCTGAGCCTGAGATGTCATTGGTGTTGTCACTGTAGCAGAGGCAGTAGCCATCTGGCCACCCTGTGCACCTTGAAGACTGGCCACCCCTCCCACTGCCTTTTGCGGTTGTTGCTGTTGCTGTTGCCTTATTGCCATCTTTTGCATCATCTGGCGTTGTTTAAGTTGTTGTTGTAGTTGCAGCTGTTGCTGAGGACTTAACTGTGCAATGTTTGGTGTTGCCAGGAGCTGCTGAAATTGCTGTGGGGTGAGTGCAGTAGCCTTCTTCTGCAAAAGGGTTGCTTGCTGCAGGTTTGCAATCTGCTGCTGTTTCTGTTGTACACCAGGTTGCTGCAATGTGCCTGGTTTTGCAATTGAGCTGGCAGTAGATGCAACAGCACCTTGTGTCACCTGACCTTGTTTAACTTGTTGAATCTGAAGATGTCGCATCTGATCTAGTTGCACCTTTTTCAATTGCGCCTGTTGTTGTAGTAGTTTTTGTTGTCGTTGTTTAAACAATGCAACCTGCTGTGGAGTGTACGTAATACCTTGTTGATTTACAAACTGCTGTGGTGATACCGGCAGATTATGACCTGAAATCAGAAAATGTAAATTATGTCATTTTGAAAACATAGGCAAGCTACACATTCAGGAGTTACTTTTTTTGGATATGTGGGTTGAAATTGTGAAATTTTTTACAGTGAGCTAGGATTATGTCATAAAATTCAAGTTGTTTACTGGAAAATGGCATTTCATCAAGGAAAGATTAGTCCATAGTCGCGAGTAAAAAGTAAACATGTAATTGTAGTGGGAAAGTACTGTTTTAATACAATATTTAATTCATGGAGAACTTTTAGAAGCAAAGAAATGGATATTTAACATGGCTGTCATCACAGAAAGTATTCTGCATTCTGATTGGTGCAAGAATACTCCTATGCTATGATCTGGTTGGTACCTAATAATACCCTAAAGCAGCAATCTGATTAGTTTGTGATGCACCAAAAAAGCAGCACTCTGATTGGTACATGATACAAACCCTAATGCGGCAATCTGATTGGTTTGTGGTTAATTGGTGCAAGCGACATACCACTCTACACTGACACAGAGTTATTAGTTTTTTTTTAAATACCTCAAAAATACAATGTCTTCGCCAGATTAACATGGGATAACGAAAAAGAAAAGAATGAGAGGATGTGAGGGAAAAAGAAAGGGAGAAACAATGAAGGCAGGGAATATATCTTAACATACAACTATACATGGATTATAAAAGTGTCAGTAAAGATAAAAACATACTTGCAGTGACAACTGATGGAGTAGTCTGCCTTCCAATCTAAGAAAAAGACAAATAGAGCTGATAAAGAGGGGAGAAAGTTGCTTTTTAGCACAGTATATATACCCATTTGTTCGTCTGACACACACACAATGGGAATCTATTTGGGAATCACTGAACATGCTGAGTAGATTACAAGGTTTCCTACCTGACTGACCACAGCTGATGATGATGATGCCGATGTCATGCTGGTTGTGGCACCTAGTGTAAGTGATGTTGCTGTGCTTGACGCCAGAGAACTACTCACTTGACGTGGCTGAGTCTGCAGTAATCTTGTTGTGGCTACACCAGCTGAAGACACCTTCTGGAAAACAACAACAACAAAAAATAATTTCAATTAAGGGCCAGGTTTCACTAGAGCTAATTCAGATATTTCCCCAAAAATTTGAAAAATGTTCACACTAAAATTTTGACAATGGTGGCATCAAACTAAAATCCTTTGATCAAAACTTCACTGATTGATTCATATGTCATTCACAAACCCATCCCACTCTAAAAACTAAATAGAAAAAATATTGCACGAATTGCTATGGATGAATGGATCTTTTTTCCAACTCCTCTTATGCGTTTTGGTTGCACGCTTCCAACAGAAGGAGAATTTCTCGTTCAAGCCATATGTTCTCTAAACTGTTGCCAGTATAACTGAAACCAGGGTATGAGTCACAAAGATTTGAATTAAAGCAGTGCTCAGTCATTTCCCTCAAACGAAAAAGGGTCAGATGGATGACAAATGTGCTGCTGTTGCACACCAAACTAGATGAGCAGACTAAAACATTTTTTGTTCCCAGTGAAACTTTATCCAGGCATATCTTACATATCATGACAGCTTAATGGTTAAAAGAAAACCTGATTGTTTGTTTTGCCAAAATATTATTTGGATGCTCTGAGGCAGGACATCAGGCTCTTTGAGGATTGACAAAAATTTGGCAATTTGCAAATATTTGGTATGACTTTCAAATTGGGGGTTGCACTCACTCTTGTTGACAAAATTTTTCACTAAAGATCTATTGCAGCCTGGGCCTAACAAACAGATTCTCTATTGCTGACTGTCTGTAAATTTTAGATCACATATAATGTCAAAATGTGATAAGAACAAAAACGTGGCACATGACACCCACCTAAGTGTGTCTTTAATGTTCTTACCACATTTTGCCGTCTTATGTCCTCTATGATTGAACAGACCCACAATAACATGGGGTCTATTTGATATATTTTATACTATTTAAAAATGAGAACTGTCAGTGATAATGTCATCCAAAACTCACAGTTTGCACTTGAACAAGAGGGGTTGGCAGTTTTCCTTGCATCCTTTTGTTGATGGTAGCAAATGAAGAAGATGCAATGGAGCTCAGACCTGCTGCATTACCCTTATGTGTATTAACCACAATGCTGGATGCAGTCCCAGTTGGAACCGTCTGACCTGTGAGCACAATACCAGGAGCTGTCAAATGAACAACAATCAGTAAGAAGTAGTCCTTGTACATGAGCCAGTCAGTTAGTTTAATGACTGGTTATTTTGTTAAACTAAACTCCCAGAAGTAATTAACCAGTAACTTCTCCCCATAATATCATTACATTATCCAATAAACAGGTAAGGAGAATACTCAAACTTATCAGGTACTGTAGAAGTTGTTAACTTGATCAAACACCAAATTCGCCTAACAAGGAAACATGCAGCAGGTAGAGGGGAAAATTAACAATGATCATATCTTACGAGTTGAAGCCACGAACCTGACAAGCTCTTCTAGTCAGCTAAACAGCCCACAATCTTTTGATAATGACTTACAGAGCTAACAAAATTCCAAACTGTACCGACCTGATGTCTTGAGTAAAGTTGTTGCAGGTGTGGTTCCTGTAGCTCCCTGAAGAGTTGCACTTTTCTGAAGTGCTGCTGCTGCCTGAAATATATAGTGTAATTCATATAATATTCCTCAAGATACATGCCATCAGTTTCATAAGAGTCCCTGTTGAAAGTGGATGGCACCATCCACTGAATAAATTGCCTCCTATAAAACACGGGTTTAGAAACTACAGGCCCATTAATTCAATAAAATTTAGCTGTTGTTTAACAGAACAGCCTAAACTATATTGAATTTGGCTAAATCTTTACCCTGAATGTCTATTTTTTTTGTGAACAATGTCAAGGGGGCTGAAAGTAAGCAGTGTACGAAAATCTATTTAATGACAACAGCCCGGGTGCCCTCTTATAGAAAATACATAAGGCGATCTGATTGCAAAAAACCGCAGTTTGGGTTAGACCTTGTTTAAATAAACGACCCTACATGTACATGATTTATCCCAGATCTAGCAATTTAAATGTCTACGAAGATGTGTTAGAGGAATGAAATGTAACTTACTGCTACAGATGTGGAGTTCAGTTGAGTGGTAGTGGTCAATTTTTGCGCTGGCAGTGACTGCACACTGGCTGGCAACTGTTTGGTTGCAGTCTGTTGTGGAAGCTGGGAGCTCTGTGGTTGTTGTAATTGTGCAGGTGTCGTGACTGGTTGATTTTGTTGTTGTTGTTGTTGTTGTTGTTGTTGTTGTTGTTGTTGCTGCTGCTGTTGTTGTTGCTGCTGTTGTTGTTGTTGTTGTTGTTGCTGCTGTAGCTATTGAAGCAAAAATGAAAAACACAGGTCTGATCAAAAACCAACTGTATCAAATCCAGGCCTTGATTCAGTGATCTGATATATGCTTTTCTCTTCTGAGAGAAATGTTTCCTTTGCTTTTCAAATCAACAATGCACACCCACACCCTCTTCCTCCAGTCCCTGTAAATGGCTTTTCAAGGGACAAGGGACAAGTGACTAACACTTGATCAACAGACTAGACAATAAAAAGGTTATTGCACTATAGAATATTACAAATTCTAAAGTTTTTCTTCTCCCTTTCAAAAAAAAAATAACTGCAATCACTGCCTTTTATCTTCCAAGTCAGAGAAGTTTTCAGACCATGATTTTCACTCTCTTATTTGAAGTTTAAGATTACTCAGGAACATGAGGGAAAAATACTTTATTGTGATGTATTCTCACATGGAATAGTGCAAGACAATTGACAATTGGGCACGTTTATGTATAAGAAATACTGTAAACAAACAAGATGAAACAAACTACTATAGCTTTAAAACACTGCAGGAAAAAGCACCACAAGTTACTTACAGCATTTTGAGCAGCTGCTGCTTTTTCTCTGGCAATTCGTTCTGCTTTCAGGGTAGCCAACTGAACTGGGTTCAAAGTCTTCTCCTCTGATATACCACTTGGAGAGCAGAAAATAAGAGTCATCAACAATGAAATATTTTGTAACTGACTTGGATTTTTATTGCTCATACAGGATTCCTACAGGAACGGGGCTTAATTTCATCAAACAGAGCTGGTCAACTTTTGTACAGTGCTTTGACAAATTAATCAAGAACTCTTTAACCCTTTGATCTCAAAGAGCAAGGCTGTGCTCTAAGGAAAACTGAATGGAGCCCAGTGCTTTGAAACTGTGAAATCCAGGGTGCCCAGCATATGCTTTGTATGAAAAAACTAAAATTCCTAAGGCACCAGGGGCCACCGGGCACTGCTAGACCAAAGCCTTGAAGAGTGACTAACATTTAATTTCTCTTTACAATTTCACCCCCCCCCCCCCAATCACACAGGTAGCAAGAATAAAGGAAAGGCTTGATACTCAAAGAAGCTCTTGATTGTTAAACAAATTCTCCTTGTCAGCACCTTAGAAACCATGTGGAAAACAGTAAGGAGAATAGGCACACTGATATTAGAGCATAAAGTGTTACCAGATTAAAACTGTCAGAGTCACTCATTAAGTGGTAAAGTTGCTTTTTACCTGGCCCTTAATATAGCAGAATGTGTGAAATTCTTTAGTTGCGGATCCACCAACCTAAGAGTAAAAAATATGACAATTTAACAAAAAGGGACACTTGATGGAAAAAAAAAATCGTGTCATAAAACTGCTGTAAATTCTGACTAAACAAATTACAACATAAATAAGAAAAGATAGCATGACAGTGAAATGAGCCCAGACTGTTTGTTCAGAGATCATACCATCTGACAGAGTAACAGCATTCTACAACAAAGAGCTTAAGGTGCCTTGTAGCTTTGTCTCCCAAACTCACTACTGTTCCTTTTACCTTCACTTTTTCTTTTATCTCAGTCTATCTTTTTTTCAGCAACAGAATTATAAATTACTTACCTATGTTTTTATCATTCTGTCTCAAGATCAGCTGAATAGTAAATGCTATGTAGAAGCTTTTTAATAAGCTGTTTGGTATCATAAAATTGTTACATGAATTTAAATGAAGGTCTGATTTGACTGATCAAAGGAAACTGTTCATTGAGTAAGGTGCTTTCCTATTGTAGATCACAGCTTATAACATGCAAAAATTATTGACTGCTAGTATTAGATTCCTAAATTCACACACTTGATTTTTTGAAAAAAAAATATATATATATATACAGTCAACAGGGTTGATCTCATAAAAAAAATGGCGATGAAATGTAATGAAAAATCAAGTAAGAGAATGAGATTCTCACATTTGCCTGAGAGGTGGTTTTCTCTTTTGTGAAGTGCGTTTCACAAGTTCAAACACAGATGATCGTACAACAGTTGGTGAGCGGCCACCATCTTGAGCCAGTATATGATGTGTCTTGAATGATCTTCCATTTGTGCCTTTAATCTGATGAATGAAATGAGAATTAATAGTGCCATAAAAAATTGACTTCTTGTTGGTACTGTGAAGGTCATGTGTACTAATTGACTCAAGTAGATCAGTATTATAGGGAAGTGTATTAATTTTGTAATTTGGTGTAATTTGGATTGAAATCCTGTGCACACACAGCAAGATTGATTTGAGGCCTTGCAAATGATTTCAGAACAAAATTGCAGAACAAGTTCAACGTCCAGTTTGTAATAAATTGATGCACATTTTGAAATTGAACAATATCATAGCCTGAATTTAGGATTTCGATGAGTACCACCGTTGTATTGATCCAAAAGCAAAAAAAAGACCAGATAAGAAAAAAAAAAAAAAAAAGGAAAAAACTCTGAGTTGAGAAAAAAAGGCATTCTACAAAATCTGAAATCTGACTGATTGTTTTGTTTGAGTGTTCCATTTCATTGGCCAGAAAAATACAAGATTTAGGGCCATATGAAATAAACTGAACTGTTGAGAGCCAATCATATGGCTAGGATTACCACTGATTTTGCTGTGTATGTAATAACTTCACATAAATGACTGTGTTTGTTCACCTTGACTGGTAGACTGTGAGGTTGGGTAATGTAAGGCTGAGAAAATGACTTCAACCTTGTCTTCAGCTTCTTCAAGCTCTCCTCTACTACAGGCTAATCATCCGGTAACAAACAATGACAAAAAGTACATTATTAGACATTTCGTTAACCAAGCTAGAAAATAAATGATCCTTGTAAATTTCCAGCTTCTTTTTTGCAATAGCTAAAATCACAGTCCACCTTCCAGGACCCCATTTTTTTATTTCATCCATGGGTCAAATGGAAATTATTTAATAATTAGTTGTGAACAAATTGCTCAGCAGGAATGAAGAACTCTTAAAACTTTATCTCACTCCCAACATCTGGTTTGGTGGCTCAGTTGATAGCAGGGCCCAACTAGTATCT